TATGTTGAAATTTGCCATCACAGCCATGTATTATGGTTTATTAAGTGCTTATCGTATTGATAATCAAAAAAAAAATAGGGTTGCATTTATAATATTTGCTATCATTAATACTTTATATACATCATCATGGGATATTGTGATGGATTGGTCTTTATTGCAGAGTGGATCCAAGCATAGGTTCTTGAGAGATAATTTGTTTTTCAAGAGACCTATTTACTACTATTGTGCCATGGTAATTGATGTTATTTTAAGATTCCAATGGATCTTTTATGCATTTTTTACCAGTCAAATACAGCAACTGGCGGTTACTAGTTTCTGCGTTGCATTGGCGGAGCTTTTAAGAAGATTCATTTGGATCTTTTTTAGAGTAGAGAATGAGCATTGTACCAATGTTACCTTATTTAGAGCTTCGAGAAATTCTCCGTTACCATACCCAATTTCAACTGGAGTAGAAAGATCAATTAGAAGACTTGTCGAGTTGAAATATAGTAACTCACATTCTCTTGAACTTATGAAAGAGAATAAAAGTATCAAGAGAACTCTTCAAGATGACCAAGAATCGGATATTGGCTTTATTAGCATACCAATGCCGAGTACCTCATTAAGAGAGCGTACTCGTCGTAAATCTACTATAGGTTCGGTCACAAGTGCATTGAATACAGCACATATCAAGGATTTTCAAAGAAAGAAGGCAATTACTGATTATGAGGATGACGAAAGTGCTGTCGATGATGATGAAGGAGATGACGAGGAAGAGATCGAAGCATTTACTGGAGCATTGTAATCTGATAAATTGCATGAATTATATATATAGATACCCGTTAGATACTCTCTTGAATGGTATTTTCATAGGATTATATATTCAATATATTATTTATCTATTTACAAGTATTTAACATGAAGTAATATTAAATTGCAAAAAGTTTTGGCTAGCCTAATGGCACGGGGTTCAATATCAATATAGAAAAAAAATAATTCATAGATCTATGATTGCATCATTTCAATTAATATTGCCAGATACTTTGCATTAAGATTAAGATTTTTATACTTTATGTATACCTATAGTTATAAGGGATAGACAGTTAATATGAAATTTGGGGAGTTGTTAAATGAAGGGTTAGTTCCCGAATGGAAACCTTTATACCTTGATTATAAGTATGGTAAGAAGCTAATAAAACGACTTGATGATATTAAGGAGGACATAGACGAGTCATCAAGTAGTATGAAGAGCGATGCAAACACAGGGAAGAAAAGTCCTAGCAATGCTAATGATCGTACACCTTTACTTGTTCCTTCCAAGGGAGCAACGAAATATAATCAGGAGCGTACAGAATTCCAATTGGATGGTTCGTCTGAAGATGGGCAAAGGAAGACAACGAACAATGAGACAGATATGGAGAACTCTCCAAAAAATGTGAAGCTGGAAGATAATCAGAAGCCATCAGTTTTCAATTACTCGTTGCGTTCTAATAAAAAAGATAATTTAGAATTAGAGAAGCGTAAATTTAAAGAATGGCTTGATTCTGAGTTGGAGAAAGTCAACTCTTTCTACAAAGAAAAAGAAGAATATAATTTCGAAAAGTTTCTACTATTACAAGATCAGTTATATCAATTGCGAGAACATAAAGCTGTGGTGTTACAAGAAAGATTACAACATCAAAACAATAGACATAGTTCTTCTGTCGACAATCCAGATAATATGTACAATAACCTACATGATATCGCATTTCATACCAAGAGCGCATTAACTGCATTAGATAGATTTGAATTTCCCTCTTTTCCGTCAACTGCTTTCCTAAATAAATGGAAGAACAAACAAGAAAAAGATATAGACATGATCGAGGGGAATGATTTTGATGATATAAATTACCATGAAAATAGGATTAGAAATGGTATGATCTCTTCAAAAGATGACGAGGAAACAGATTTGACCTCAATTGATTCTGATATCAATTCGGGCAACTTACCCCATCAACAGGCTGATACCGCAGGCTATTCTTCCCAAGAACCACAGACTACGGAGATGATAAAAACTGCAAGAAGGAGAGATTATAGTGTCAAGAAGGATCATTTCAGGGTACCATATGTGTATGCTCGTAAGCAACTAAAGGATGCAATAATTGAACATTATGGTGCATTATCATTACTAAAATCCTTCAGAGAATTAAATCGAACTGCCTTTAGGAAAATTACAAAAAAGTTTGACAAAGCCATGCACACATCAATTTCGGCACCATACGTGGAGAAAATTGATAATGAAGCTTATTTCCAAACAAGTGATACGCTTGACAGGTTGACAGGCCAAGTCGAAGAATTATACATAATATTCTTCGATAGTGGAACGACTGATAGGAAGCGTTCGCTAGAAAAGTTGAAGAGTATCTCTTATGTATTGAATAGTAAAGTGCAGAAGTCATATTATGCCCCTTTCTTTACATCTGGGATATTAATTGGCTTTGGTTTTCCCTTGTTTATTTTAGGGCTATATCTTGCGTTACGAAAAACATTGAATGGGGACTTACCAGAAGGGAGATTCTTGTTGCAGATATGGGGAGGATTCTTTTTGCTAATCTTAGCATTTTTACTTTTTGGAATAAATTTATATGTTTTTGACTTATTTAAGATTAACTACAAATTCATTTTTGAATTTAACTTGGTATCCACGTTGAATTACAAACAGTTTTTGTTACTTCCAGCATTTGGATTTGCATTCTTTTCATTATTATTCTGGTTCAGTCTGAATAACTTCTGGCCGGAAGCATTTCCAGGTAGAGACTGGCCCTGGATATTTTTTGGGGTTATGATAGTGTTATTTATTTGGCCTGGTAATCAATTCTATGCGTCAAGTAGGAAATGGCTTCAAGTTGCACTTTGGAGATTATTATTATCTGGTTTCTATCCTGTTGAATTTAGAGATTTCTTTTTGGGTGACATT